TCCTCAGAAAGTGTGAACTTCCTTTTAAAATGTGTAATATTCTTTAGCCGGGCTTGGTGGCTCAGCCTATAATCCCACACTTTGGGAGGCTGAGGTGAGTGAATTGCCTGAACCCACGGGTTTGAGACCCGCCTGGGTAACTTGGCGAGACCTCATCTCTACAATAAATCAAAAAATTAGCTGGACGTGGTAGCCTGCACCTGTAATTCCAGTTACTTGGAAGGCTGAGGTGGAAGGATCGCCGGAGCCCAGCAGGTCGGGGCTGTGGTGGCCAGAAGTGGCCACTGCACTCCAGTCTGGGTGACAGAGTAAGACTCCAACTCAAAAAATAAAATAAAACGTGTAATATTTTTTGCAACTACATTAATAATTTCTAAACATAGATTTTTTTATCGTGTTACTTAAGAAGAAATTCAATTTAAAAGCCCCTTTTTTGAAAAACGATTTAAAATAGCACTCATATGCCACCTCCTGCAGAAGTGTTCCCTGATCCCCACCTCAGGGCTCCTGGTCCCTACCATGCCTGTACAGAGCTGTCCCTCACCTTTGTGCTAACTCTGTGCAGTCTGTAGACCACATCATTGCTCAGTGGAGCCTTGAACTCAGAATATAAAAACAGATTGTGAAATTTTCACTGTGCTAAAACCACATTGACTTGGAATCAGGAAAAGAAGACAATTGCATTCCAAAGAAATATATCAAAAATGAGTATTTGGTAAGAGACATGGAAAATATTTTTGGAAACAAGTTAAATTTTATAAACTCTACTGCTATTTTACTCATTTATAGCCACATTTAAATATAAATGAGGAAAAAATATATATATATATAAATATATATATTTATAACACTAAATCAAGACTCAGGAGTTCACAGTTGAAGTTCTAAATCTCCCACTGAAACTACAAAACGAGTCTCTTGTCTTGGCTTACTATCATTTTTCTGAAATGGAAGGTGTCAGAATGTCAATGGTTTTAAGTCTTCTTACATTTTATATTTCACATTTGGTCAAATTCAGTTGATTACAGTCTAATTGTCAAAAGCAAAAGACAATTCTTCCTTCTCTTTTGGCTAGCTTGTAATGTACCCAATACAATGGAAGGAAAAAATTTTGAAATGATGGATATCCCAATTACCCTGATTTGATCAATACATTTTGCATACATGCATTAAAATGTCACATATAATCCCCAGAATATGTACAACTATGCTATGTAGATAAAATATATATGGTATAATAAACAAAGATAAATCTAAAACACCAAAAGAAAAGTGTCAAGTTAAATATAAAGGAACACCCACAAGACTAGCATTAGATTTCTCAGAAGAAACCTTACAGATCAGGAGAGAATTGAATGATATTGTCATAGTGCTGAAAGAAAAAAGAAGGCAGCTATGCATACTATACCCAATTAAGTGATCCTTTGGACAAGTAAAAACTGTGAGAATTCATCACTACTATACCAGTCCCACAAGAAATGCTTAAGGGAGTCCTACAAATGGATGTGAAAGGATGATAACTACCATCATGAGGACATAAAAAAGAAAAGAACTCACTAGCACAGCAGACACATAAGTGAGAAAAAAAAAGAAAACTTCATTACTATAGAAAACCACTAAACCACAAAGGTAACCTATAGACAGGGAAGACAGGAACAAAGAATATACAAAACGACCAGAAAACAATGAACAAAATGACAATATAATTTTAAAAATCAAAATCCAGCTATATGCTGCCCACAAGAAACTCACTTCACCTGTAAAAGCACACATAGACTGAAAGTAAAGCTATGAAAAGAGATATTCCATACAAATGAAAACAAAAATGAGTGGAAGTATCTATACTTAGATAAAATGGACTTTAAGTCAAAAATATGAAAAAGATAAAGAAGGTTATAATATAATGATGAAAGGCTCAATTCAGCAATAGAATATAATTTTTATGAATACATATGCACCCAACACCAGAGCACCCAGATTGCAAAGCAAATATTGTTAGTGTTAAAGGGAGGATTCTAATGTCATAATAGTTGGGAACTTTAACACTGCACTCTTAGCATTAGACAGATCACCTAGACAGAAATTTAACAAAGAAATATTAAACTCAAACTACATTATAGACCAAATGTACCTAAAAGACACTTACAGAACATCTCATCCACAACAGCTGCAGAATATACATTTTTCTCATCAGCACATGAAACATTTTCCAGGAAGGACCATATGTTAGTCCACAAAGCAAGCCTCAATAAATTTTTAAAAATCAAAATCATATTAAGTATTTTTTTTTTTCTGACCCCAACAAATAAAACTAGAAATGAATTACAAGAGGACCCTTGGAAAATATTAAAAAACACGAAAATTAAATAACATGTTCCTGAGTGACCAATGAGTCTATTAAGAAATTTAGAAGGAAATAAAAATTTAATGTCTTTAAAAAAAAACACACACAAACTAAAACCTATAAGACACAGCAAAATCAGTACTAATAGGAAAGTTTATAGCAATAATGTAGAAAGATTTTGAATAAACACCCCTAGATCTGTGGCCTGATGGAGTTAATGTTCAGTATGTCCTTGTAGGCTGAGGCCCGTGTTTCCCTCCCTGAGTGAGCTCAATAGTACCTGCCCTTAGCACTTAGCAATTACAGTGAACCATGTGGGACAGGAAGTACAACAAACCAACAAGAAATGTCAACACTTGTAATTTCATGAATGAGACAGGAAAGATAATGGCAAAGAGACTGGCTTGTTTGAACAAAGTGAACAGCGGAGCCATGACTGAAGGAGGGACATCAAACTGAGACTAAAGGAATCTGAAACCTGTGTGTAGACCAGCTTCAGAAGCCTGTCCAGAGAAAACAGAGAGTGTGCTTACATTGGAGGAACTAAAGAAACCATTTTGGCTAAATGTCACTGAATTATTCACAGTCTAAAACCCCCTTGCCTTCACTTTTCATTTGCATCTTTGGCTATCTTTTATTGAGAAAAGAATGCAAGTCTAATTTTAAAATATACATATTTCTATTTAGCAGCCACATATATTTATAAAATGCCATATATTTTTACAAACCATGGGTACTTTAGACAAGACTAAGGCTATGTTTTCTCTTCTTATGAGTGTCAATAGCATGGAATAAAAATTTTCATTGGACAATTGACCCTGATAATTGTTTAGATGAAATACTGACAAAGACTTTCTGTCAACCTTTGCCTTGACTTGAAAGAATTACAAAATGGCCACTTGTACACCCCTAATGAAAGTCCATTAGTGTAGTGTGACCCTATCTTTGACTCATTTTGAATTGGCCAACCATGACCCTTAAACCTTAACAGATTATCCTTGTTTCCTACCAGGGCTTTAAACAAATTAGGGCTGAGTAAACATGTCAAAAAGGTGAAGGGAAACCACAAGTTCTTAAGGATGATTATTCAGTTCTTTTATTCTATAATTATGAGAAGATGGTCACTTATAAATGAAGCTATGAGAGAGAATGAAAAAAAGAAATAAAACGGCCATCAGGTGTTAGGTTGAATATGTAAAATTTATACTGGCTTGTAACAGCTATCAACTTCTACACCTGTTTCAAATCAGATTGCTAAAATAATGTATTCATACAAACACTGCAATTTGAAATAGTAGGTTTTAAAAATAAATTATAATGGTTTTATCACTAATTTTAGTAAGAATTTCAAAAAGCAAATTTAATGTATTCCTTATTTGCATTGCTTGGAAAAACACCTGTTTAGAACCGGTTGGAACTGCACTCCTTGAATTGGGTATTAGTGGGAAGTCTGCCTTCTTCTTGGTACCACTTATTCTTTTCTTTCAAGTTTAACAAATAGGCATTCATTAATCTTTCTTCAACATTTCAGAATTTAAGCTTTATTCTGAAACAGATCTCATGAAAATGTACTTCTAATATTATGATTTCTGTTCTTCCTGTCCTATCTCCATCCTCTATCCCTTCCTCTTCCCCCACTGCAACTCTCTCAATCTCTCTCTCTCTCATCTGTGTATCCATTTATCTGTCTATCTTCTATCATTTATCCATCCATCTAGTCAATCTGTTTATTATGTATCTCTCTATTTTATCATTGATCTCTCTAATCTATCATCTGTGTATCTATCTATTATCTATCTATCTAATCTATCTGTCTCTACATTCTTGTATCAATCTATCTCTATATTTATCTAATTTGTCCACCTCTATCACTTAGCTACTATCTATCATCTATTTGTTGACCATCAACTATCTCCTTTTCTTGGTTCTTGTTACCCAGGGTTCTAGCCTGACATCAAGTTATGTTTGGCTCTCTTTTCCCATGACCACAATATTGTTCACCAAAAGAAATATTTATTATTTCAAAGAAAAGGATCCTGTACTCCACAGAAAAATGTTCATAGATCACAGTATATTGGTGCCTCAAACAAAAACCAGTCTTATCCAGGTGCCATGGTGCTGAACTTCATGAAAAAGTCTTCTTAATTAAAAACAAACAAACAGACTTCAAGGCTTTGCAAGCTTTGTGTAGAGGACAACTCTGCAGCCTCAGACAGGCTTTTCATGCGTTAATCTGGATAATTACTTAAGTATGCATATAAAATTCTAAAAATATTTATTGCAGGACATTCTGGGTGTCCTCAAAATCTATCTTATAAACTGTAATCAGCATTTCTTTTGCTTATATTGAATTATCTCTTGGTTATTTCAAACACTATAAATGATAAAATAAACATTTTGTATTTGACCTAAATTGCAGAAGGGATTAAATTTTATTTTTAGTGGTGAAAATACATTTGTTGGAAAGCAATAGCAATTTTGAATTTCATAAAATTCTGTAATCCAAGACTCTCAAATGTATATAAATATCTATGTAACTAATTATAATAACTTGGCGATCCCTTGAAATACAATTTAACATTACAACAGGGTATTTGCAATATAGAGAGTCATGGAAAGTCCTTGTTATTGAGTCACTATTTTGTCTTGGATTTAGGTCATCAAGCTTGCATTTGAAGAGTTTGAACTGGAGAGAGGGTATGACACCCTGACAGTCGGCGACGCTGGGAAAGTGGGAGACACCAGATCCGTCTTGTATGTGTGAGTATGTCACAAGCTTCTTCTCTCTTGCATGCAGGGCTGTGGGAAGACTGGGATGTGGAGTTGACATTCTGCTACAGGCTTCCAATTCTGCCTCAAATGTTTAATTAGTGCTGTATATGTGGAATTCTCATCTGATTTATTATGAGAACTGATTTAGGATTGTGTTTTGTCTGTATCAATAGTTTTTTTCCCAAATCATTTAAAAATATATATTTAAGGTCAGAATATAGAATACACATGAGGTAAAAAGTAGAAATGATAAGTATCCCAATTCAATCTCTCTCTTTCAACCACTCTCCTTCTGCTTCCCTGTGGCTTTATGTTACTAGAGATTTTTAGACGCACAGGTGCTTTCTGGTTTGGGAAATACAGGTGTTTTCTGGAATAATGCCATATAACTTCCATTGAAAACTGTAAAAAAACTGCATAGTAAAAGAAATAGAGATTGTGGAGAAAACGTGTTGAGGATGACTCACTGTACATCTACAGAACTCTGTATCCGGAGACCCACCAAAAACATTAATAACCTTGATGCAAATATTTGCAGACAGATCCATCTAGTCAATTTGCAACTAGGAGCACCATCCATTCTGGGGCCCTTTGCCTCAACTGGCTGCTTCAACTGCTTTAGGATATAGGATGTCAAAGACAGTTTTTGTCCATTTTTATCAGACCTCGTTTATCAAAATTAAAAATAAGACTCAGGAGATCTTTTCTTATCAATTTCTGAAGGAGGTTCACCTTGTTTGCTTAGTCTAGTTTATACTGTTAAGACTGTCTCTTTACATGAGAACTCTTGTCTCTGATAACAGCAACATAGGACTATGCTAGAGAAAGGTACAGTCTGTTATGCTCACATCAACTCCTTGTTTACTGATTCCTTATGAGATAGTTCACACTTCAGAAAGTATTATAGAGAACTATGCTTTAGGGCCCAGACTAGAACTACTCCTGGACATGCCTCTTGCATTCATTGTATTTTGAATACCTTTGTATGCGAGACCTGTCTCTAGTTTACCTTTCTACTATCTCATGCCGACTACTACTAGTAATGATAATTGTAATCATGATCCTGGCCCACAGCTTATAATATTAATTATAATAAAAGCACTAGTAATGCCATAGCTTACTTTTATTGAGTATCATTTATGCACCATGCACTAATATTTATTACCTTTTTTTTACTTTCACCACAATCTGTGCATTTGGAGTTTTATCATATCATGATGACACTGAGGCTTTGACAGACTGAAGGACTTTACCTGATTCACAAACCTAGTGTGTGTTGGAGCAGATATTCCAACTCCATGCTAGTGAGGCTGTTCCGAGCTCTGTGATGCTCACCATTTGTAAATGTGCCATGATTTTTAACTGATTCTTATTGAGGGTCTTTCATTTCTCACTCTCACACGGTTACACCATTCTTTTGCTTTTATAAGCATCTGTGCAGTGAATAACTTTGCAAGCATATACATTGGCATCCTTGTTCCTGTGCCTTTAGGATAACTTCAAGCAGAGGAATTTCAGGGTGAAGGGGCACTTCATTTACATGGTTCAGCTTTTCCAGTGATCCCCCAAAGGTTTATAAAAACTACAGTGGAATGAGAAGGCCCCTATTTCCCCAAACCCTCACCAAATGATTGTTTTTGCCAAGTTATTAGGTAAGCATTTGTTTACACAGAACTTACAGGTTGGGGCCAACACATCTATGTTGTTGACAAGCTTCGGAGGCAATTGTCTCGTAGACTGCCTGTCCGTGGCCTGAGACAGTATTGCCAGTAATGATACAGTGAATAAAAACAGGTCTAGAAGTCAGAGATGGAATTTCTGGTGCCCACTTTGCTATTTGCCATCTCTGTGACCCTAAGGGAATTCATTTTACCTCTCTGTATCTCTGTTTCTCTGGTTATAAAATATGTATAATAAACTTTTCCTGCCTGTGGTAAAGAGAAACATAAAATAATGCATGCGAAAGCTCTGGAGGGCTAAGAAATGTAACCCTCACGTATTATTATTACCAAAACATCTAATTTAAGAAGAGATGTCATGAAAATAAATGAGAAAAATTCTAAATAAGTGCAAAATCTAAAATATAAATGTAGCAAGGTAATGCCTTATATAATCCCTTAGGTTATTATTAAAGATCTAAAATTATATGCTCATTTTTTTATGCTACTTGTTGTTAAGAAAGCAATAGCAAACTATGTATTACGTTGACATAAGTGTTATTAGAACCTTCCCTCAATAGCTCGAATCTACAAATGAAAAACTAAGTAACCAACTGAATCAAATGGAGGTGCCCTTTGGGGAACATAATGTAACAAAGATCAGTTGGGCATTTAATCAGCTGCAGTAGAGGAAAGAAAAGCCACTGATATATGTCCTTAGTGTACCAAGTTACAGAAAAAGAAAAGAACACAGAAACACAGCTGGTCTCTTGGAATAAACAGGTAATTTCAAGCAATACAGTAACACATACATTTGAGTACTTATATGTCAGACTTTATTCTCAGCATGGAACTTATAATCTAACTGGAGAAATGACAGATACACTAGGTTAGTTTAAATACTAGTCAGTATACAGAATCACAGAATCTCATGACACTTTTATTTCGAATAAAACAGGAGTTTAAAAAAAAAATCTATGTCAGACTGGTATTAATTACTTTATACTTAGTATTTTATAGGTTTCCTTTTTGGTGGGAACCATAAACTTCTAGTCAGATCTTGATTTACAAGAGAAATGTGGGAAGTGAGATAGGCTGAAAGTGAGATAGCTCCTAAATATGGTTTCAAAGCCTCCTGTTTCTAGTAATGGTTTTTCATGTTTTTTTGTTTGTTTGATTGATTTTTTACTTTTGTGGCACCAAAGAAGAATATCCAAATGTGAAAGAGCTCCTATAATAATACAGTTTACCCCAGAGATGGATGAATGTACTCTGGTCATATTTATAGAATGACAGACTTTAAAGAAAATTAAATAATTTACTTAGCATATCTCTTCTGAGCTCTTTCCAAGCATGTATCTTGATACTTTTCTCAAACTGAATTCGTAGAAGAACTGCTTGGGGAGGTATTGCCTTACATGACTTCCCTCTGACCTTTGCAGCTATTAGCCGTTGGTAATGGAGAGATGGTGCTATCTCAGAATGTACTGTGGATTGCAGGCAGGTGCTACTGTTTTTGAATGGCCATCCTTCCACAGGGATGAAGAGTTACCATCATAGAAGTCTGTGAGCAAGTTTTATAGCTTGTGCCTGGCTACATTGTAGATTAACAGATGAGGACACAGTTGTGTCTTAGTGTGGGTTTACTCCATTTTTCTTGAAACTGCTTCTTGATCCTAGGCATTCAGCAAGACTCTGCTATTTTAGTTTCTCACAATGTGCAAGTGACTCCAGCACTCACACCTTCACTAGCAGTTGGTGTTATCATTGTTTTTTCTGTTCTGATAGGTGTGTAAGGATATCTCTTTGTGGTTTCATTTGCATTTTCCAATGACTAATAATATGGAACATCCTTCCATATGCTTAGTTACCTTCTGTGCAGTCTCTTTGGCAAAATGCCTGTTATGACTGTTACTAGTTTTCTGACTGAATTTTATTTTTGCCATTAAGTTTTGAGAGGTCTTTGTATATATATTTAAGATTATTAGTTATTTATAGAATGTGTGCCTTACAGATATTTTCTCTCAGTCTGTGTCTTTCATTTTGATCTCTTTATATGAGTTTTCACAGAGCAAAAGTTTTTAATTTTGATGAAGTCAAATGTATGGACTTTTTCCCAGTGGCCTGAGCTTTTGTTTTCAAGTCTAAGGGGATGCCTTTCCTAGCTATAGATTTCAGAGATTTTCCTGTCTAATTTTCCTAAAAGTTTTATACTCCACATTTAAGTCTATTGGGCATTTAGAGTTAGGTTTTGTATAAGTATGTGAGACATAGATTGTATTCATATTTTGCCTTGAGATCTCTTTTGTCCAGTTACTCAGGATCATTTGTTGAGCAGACCATCCTTTCTCCATTGAATTGCTTTTGTCAAAAACTAGTTGAGCATATTGGTATGGGTTCTATTTCTCAGTTCTCTGTTCTGTTTTATTGATTTATAGGTGTCTAGCACTCTACCAATACCATTCCTGATTACTGTGGCTGATTAGTAATTTTTGATATCAGGTAGAATGATGTCTCTCACTTTATTCTTCTTCGTCAACAGTCTTTTAGCTATTTTAGGGTTAATACCATTCCGTGTAAGTTTGAGAATACCTTATATATATATGCTTAAAAAATTTGCTGGGATTGTCATAGGATTGCATTGAACCTATTGATCAATTTGGTTAAGATTGATATGTTTGTTGTGTTGGTTCTTCCAATTCTTGAGCATATGTCCTGTGATTTGCCAAATGCTTTTTTTGGTATCAGCTGACATGACTATATAATTTTTCTTCTTTAGCTTGTTTGAATGGTGATTGCATTAATTAATTTTTTTAAAAATTTGACTCATAGCTGGGCTCGGTGGCTCAGTCTGTAATCCCGCGCCTTTGGGAGGCTGAGAGTGGATTGCCGCGGGGTTGAGACCCGCCTGGGCAACTTGACGAGGCCTCATCTCTACAATAAATCAAAAATTAGCCAGGTGTGGTAGCATGCGCCTGTGGTTCCAGCTACTTGGAAGGCTGAGGCAGAAGGATCGCTGGAGCCCAGCAGGTCGAGGCTGCGGTGGCTGGGAGCGGCCACTGCACTCCAGTCTGGGCGACAGAGTGAGACTCCAACTCAAAAAAAAAAAGAAAAAAAAATTTTGACTCATGTTTGTATAAATGGAATAAATTTCACTTTGTGGTCAAGAATAATTCTTTTTATATATTGTTGGATTCAGTTTTCTAGTATTTTATTGAAGATATTTGCATCGAAATTCCTGAACTATAATAGTCTGTAATTCTCTCTCTACTTCCCCATTCATCCCGCCCCCATTTTTTTGGTACTAGCTTTGGTTGAAATATCAAGTGA